CTCCACAGACAGGGACGTGTTCCCCTGTCCGTTTTTTTCCTCTGAGTTTCTCTCCCCGGGGAGATAAAGGTGCCCAGACCAAGACTCTGAACCCTATTCACTCTTAAAAAAACTGATGGCCTTTGCTTCAAGGGGAAAGTGTTAGAGATGATTTCACAAGTGTTGCTTTCTGCTTGAGTTCTCTGCCTTCTGGAAAAGAATTTGACCTCTGTATGAGCCCTGGAAACACAGTAGGAGATTAGCCCACTAGTAAACGAAAATCAAGTTTTTTCCTTTCCATTTTTTTGTACATGAAAGAGAGTTACTGTATTTTTCTACATTGCACACATAATCTTGACCTTTTCTATGAGAATGTACCTATGGATTTAAGTGAAAGAAACCGGGCAGGGTGAAAAGCCGAATTTGGTGACTTTGACTAGTCATCCTATATCTAACTTACAACAAATAAAACTCTAAATTTCTTGTATAAAAATAAATTATGTGTAGATTTGAAATACATACTTTGAAATCCTTATAGAATATATAATTACTTAGAGGAAGTATAACTGTGACCATTTTAATCAAACACATACCCTATAAAAAATTGAATTTAAAATATATTTGAGACTATTCTGATGTCCTACTGCTCCCTAAATTTCTTTCTTCTGGTGGATTTGCTATCATATCTTCCCAAGATTTTTCTCCTTCTTATTGCTGTGCATGTTTCCAGGCTAGCCTGTCACGGGATGGTTTTAAAGGAAGGATTAGCTGTAAGTTTTCCTGTAGTGCTACTAGTCTTCCAAGTGTTTATTCCAAGTGTTTAAACATGGTGGAGTGGAAGAAGACCTGGATTGGCTCAGGGCAGAGGCATAAGCCACAGGATGCTGTGGACACACTGAAGATGCTGTGAGGGCAAAACCAAGAAACTTACCGTGGCCTTGGGGTGGCAGTGACAAGCTCGGCATTGCGGGAGAGGGAGAGATCTGCAGACTCTGAAGAGCTTTCAGACAGAGAAAATTTGCAGGGAGAGGGCAAATTGTGGAAAGAGAGGTCGCCAGAGAAGAGATACTACTGGCAGGCATGTAGGGTAAGTCTCATTGAGCAACAGGTTGCAGGAAACAGGGACAAAGCACTGGCTAGAGTACAAGGCAAGGGACAGGAAGATTTGAGAAAGGTTTTGAGGCATCATACCATGCTGCCCTTGATGGCCTCAGTGTAACCAAGGCACTAACAGGGCTGACATATGAAATTATTTTCCCTTTTCCAAGAATGAACGCAACAGCTTCTTCAGCAACAACTCCAGCAAGTAAGTAGAAGGCAGCAATTGGCACAAATCCGTGATGTTTTACTGCTGTAGAAGTATGGTGTAGTGGCCAGTTAATATAGTTAGTTATATTACAGTGACAGCTGTAAGCCCTGCAACAAGTTCCTTAGCAGCATACTCTGATATCTAGTCAGGTATGTATAGTACGATGACTAACTTGGGAGCATTCATTTTACCAGTGTGTCTGCAGTAAAGGACCCTACCATGACACTGTATTACAGTAAGGCCAGTGCAGTATTAAAGATGCACAAGCCATTGTAGTCTGCCTTTTTCTAACTTAGTCACTGATTTTGGCAACCCTCGATATGCTTCTTTGTTTTGATTTTATTTGTATCAAATAGTGTTCGATTGTGAGTGCTCAGTATGACAGATAATGAATTTCAGCCTTACTCTGTCCTCACTGTGATACCCTGGTGGATTGTGTAGG